TGATATATATTATGATATAGGAATCATATTGTCATAATATCTCCAATGGGAATAGCAATTTGTCGAATACAAATTACAAATTCTCGAGTAGGAATCACATTGTATCGAATAGGAATCACATTGTATCGAATAAGAATGATATGTTCTAGAATAAGAATAATCTCATTCTCAAAGTTTTGCTCCGAAAACGATCAATTTTTAAGCCAAGGCAGACTACCGACAGATACGTTTGTTTCAGGGATTTCACCAACCATGTTTAAAGTCAGCATTACTTACATGCTATGGTCGCTATATTAATCTCTTTCACAAATATAACCTATCATCGGATTCATTTGGCCGATGTGTTTCATTCTAATTTTTGGGCTGGGTACCTGTAAAGTGCGAAACGAAATAGAAACGAAACGAAACGAAACGAACTGAAACGAAACGAAATCTGCCGAAACGAAACGAAATCTACCGAAACGAAACGAAACCTACCGAAACGAAACGAAATCAAGACGAAACGAAACGAAATCAAAACGAAACCTGCCGAAACGAAACGAAACAACACTATCAAAATGTTTTGTTTTTTTTTTAATCAAGGTACATGTATATAATTATAAATATGTAACTACATGTGGACTTTTTTTTTTTACTTCAAATAAAATTCATATACTTCAAGCACTTGTTAATATAAAATTTAATTACCGATAAATTATGCTCCCTTCTCAGTCTAATGATGCATTTACGTGTTTGCAAGCTGCAAATATGCACGAGCGTACTATGCATGTATAGTTTCAATATGTGCATTACTTTCTAATTTTTATATCTTACTCTTATTTTCAGTCCTTATTTATATAGATTCAACATATCTATCAAAATTGATGTGTTACATGTAAAGGCTCGTTTATGTACGGGTCGAAATAAAGTCACTGTACTGTTGTATTGCGAATGTCTTAAAACATAGGATAAACCAGAGACTTAGAGTATTTAGTATTCCATTCCAAGGTGTCTGGTTTTTTTTGTTCAATTATACATGTAACTCCAACCGAAATCTTGTGTGTCCTTTCTACGTACATACGGTCCTATTTTTATCGAGGTAATTTTGGAGGAAGAAAGGAGTGGTTTGCAATAAAGAGGCTTGACCATAGACGTCTTAAACGATTTAACTGACAAGTAAAAAGTCTCTCGAAGCGAACGATGTCATTTTTAAGTAGGTAAACTATTCAGTAAGATATTAAAAAAATATGACATAGGTGTCGGAAGCAGCGGGGAGGAGGGGTTAGTCTCCATCCCCACTTTCTTGCAAAGATATGTATTACATAGGCATTGAAAACTGGGGTTTACCTTTTTGTTGGTTAAGCCCCCCCCCCCCCCCCCCCCCCCAACTTTCAATTTCCTTCCGACGCCTATGTAGGAACTTGAAGCGAAACAATTGCCTGTGGTGCTTGAACTATATAAATTTCATATGAAGTAAAAATAGACCATATAAACATTCTAAAAGTTTTGTTTCGTTTCGTTTCGGCAGGTTTCGTTTTGATTTCGTTTCGTTTCGTCTTGATTTCGTTTCGTTTCGCGGTAGGTTTCGTTTCGTTTCGGTAGATTTCGTTTCGTTTCGGCAGATTTCGTTTCGTTTCAGTTCGTTTCGTTTCGTTTCGTTTCTATTTCGTTTCACACTTTACAGGTACCCTTTTTGGGCTTTTAATTTTGTTAATTTTTATACTGAATTTAATTAGATGGGATGTTCTGCCCACCTGATCAACATAATATTATATAGGGCTCAATTTCTAGACACCAGATTTCCAGGATTTTTGTTTTATGCCCTATTCATAGTTTTGTAGTTATTTATTGATGCTATGGATTATAGAAAGAATTGTCAAAAAATAAAAGTTGTCATGCTTGAAGATAACTGAAATCGTGTAGTGATCAAAATGTACATATATACACAGGATGATAGGTTTATTTCTATTATTCTTGAAAAGGGAAAAAATGAAACCAAAATATAACTATAGAGATACCGTCAAATCCGGTAAAATAACTTCCCAGTTCAAAAAATGTTCAAACTCTGAGGTGGGTCAATATTCAACAGGGTCAATTTTCAACTTGTTGAGGTCATCAGGTATAAGAAAAAAAATTATCAAGCTGTTGAAAAATGACCCCGGGTCTAAATTCAACGACTTGTGGTCTCAATTTTCAACGGAGAAAAAACACCTGCGGTTCAATATTCAACGTTGAAAAATGAACCCTGGGTCAATTTTCAACTCGGGTCAATATTCAACGTTACATCTGACACGAGACAGTAGCATGCGAGAATACATCGGTAATAATGCGTCCACACATCATACAGGTTATCGGGGTCTGTAGGGGTTTGGAAGCTATGAGTTTAAAAGTAAATTTCAGGTTTTGAATTTCACTGAAAGAATTGGTGTATTGTCACATAAGAATTGGATTGGATGTGCAGAAAACATTATTAAAGTGAAAAAAGTCCGGATCGTGATTTGTCCGTTCAATTCCGTTGAAGAGTTTGTTACTTGTAGACAGATGAGCGTACAATCGATTTCCAGGCGGATTTTGACGGTAATGATCCATCTAAAAGGCAAGTATTTAAGAAGTCTGTAAGTTGGTAGATCTGGAGAAGATGTAGGACATCAGGAATAAATCCCATCTGGGTCTCACTTAGATGGTACAGAAAGGAAAACAGGCGTGAGGTAAAATTTTGTTGGGGAGGAAGTCAAGGTTCATCCGGCAAAGTCTTCCTAAAAAGAGGAGTTTCCTTGTATCGATTTCTGCATTAATTGGTAGAATGTTCATGTGTTGTTCGCAGATATCCGATCTTGTAAGTTTTGGAAGGTTAAAGATCTGCTTGCAGATTCCATGTTGGAAAGTGTTAAGACGTCTTACGTCTTCTTTAGACATGTGGTTCCAGGTTTCACATCCATAAAAACAGATGGTAATACCACTGATTGGTATAGGTGAGCCATCGTCGGAGGATTAACTCAGGATATCTAGGTTGGATAAAGGGTAGAAGGATTTCCATCCTTTGGAGCATGCGTGAGAAATTCGAGATTTGGATTTCGTATTAGAGCTGATGGGAATACCCAAACGTTCATAAACCGTTCCGTATTGAATTTTGGACTGACCTAAGTAAATGTCTACTGCTGCGGGCTGTTTTTGGTTTCTTGCACGGAATGACAGAAAAGATGATTTAGATGCGTTGAATTCGAATCGCCATTTAGAGGGATATTTAAAGGCAGTGTCAAGCATTGATTGTCGATGCAGGCTATGTCGTCTGCAAGGGCTGGTGAATGGTAATTTCTGTCAAATACCCCGGTATTATAGGGTGGTTGAAATTCAGTGATTGAAGTTCGTCTAGCAGGTCATTGATGAATACTAGATATAAAAAAACGAAGATAACACGCCCCCTTTCTGACGCCTTGTTGGACTGGAAACCAGCGTGATTTAGTTTAGTTGACTATAACTGCACTCTCCGTGTCCTGATGACAGTCGTCAATGATGTCCCATATTTTTCCTCTAATGTGAAGCTTGTGCAATTTACACATGAGGCCTTTCCTCCAAACAGTGTCTTACTTGTGTCTAGAAAGGTTATGTAAACATTACTGCCCATTTCTAGGTTATGATATAGAGTTTCATGGAGATTAAATGAGGCAGTGAGGATACCTAGTTCTTTCTGGAAGCCTTGTTGTTGTAAGTTTGGAAATGGTTTACTTAAGGACAGAGAGAATATTTTGGCTGATAACACTTTTTCAAATATTTTGAAAATACTTGGTAATAAAGCTACTGGACGGTAGCTGTTACAAGAGTTTTTATGTTTGGTGCCTCCTTTGTGAATCGGAACGATAAGTCCACGTTTCCATTGAGATGGGACAAAGACGGTGTCAATGATTGCAATGTATAGTTTACATAGACATTTAACAATGAGATTGTCAGAATGTAAGGTATGTTCGTTTGTGACGTTGTCAGCTCCTGGCGCTTTCCTATATTTCAGAGAAGAGGTGGCAGTGATGACGTCATCGTGTGAAATTTCAAATTTGGAATATGTGATCTTTATCAACAGAGTTTGCTTTGATTTGATCATAAGTGGAATGAATTAGATGTTTAAAGTCGTTATCAAAAGAGTAATTTTTGCTGTAACGGTAGATGTCTTCATAAAAGTCTGCAAACGCATTTGCAATTTCATTTGGTTCTGTACGACTTTCTCCTGTTGCATCACAAATTTCGGGATAGAACCGAGAAGATCTTGGACGTCTTTGCTTTATGATTCTCTAAAAAAGGCGCAAGTCGAGTTCGGTGGCTTCATCTATTTCATGATAAATAGACTGAATGAAGATTTCATATTCTTTGTCGTGAGCATTTTTAAATGCACGTTTAGCACTTTTATAATTACGGTACGCATCGTGTTGCATGCCTCTTGGTCTGCCTTCTTGTATCCATTTGCGACGCATAGCTCGTTCTGTTGCATGCAGTTCTTTTACAGCTTTTGTCCAGCCAGGCTTAGTATATGGGATAACTCAGCTGAGGGGATACAAGATGAAGCTGAAGTAGAAAGAATGTCTGTCAATGTTTGGTTGTAGACTTCAATGTCGTTTTTTGACGCAATGTTGACCTCTATTAGCTTTTGTAACTCGACGCAGGTACGTGATTTATACTCCAGTATGGCTTCACTACTCGCCTTGTGCCATGCTGGAAGTATAGAACAAGAATCTTTTAATTTATTCTTTTGGTATGTGTTTCTAGATTGCACACGACGGATAGGTGGTCAGATGTTGAGGATATTGATCCTTCTTCAAGAATTTCGTACTTCGAATTTCTGGTCTTTATTTTATTTTAAGGAATATTAATAGTTGTTTAAAGGGACCCGGACACTTGTTTTATTTACATTTTAAATTTCTCTGTCAACAACCCCTCCTCGACACTGATCTTTTATATTTTAAGGTTGCATAGAACTGTACAGTATATTTAATTGAATTTATATATATTTCTTTTAAATATTGTAGGTCTTTTGAAATCACACAGACAGGGACATTTTTGCTGTACAGAACCATTCATTCAGACGGTTATCGAATGGAGGTGTGTGTTTTTTTTAAATATAACATTTTAGAATCATTTCATCATTTTCAATTAATATTTTTAAAAATAAATGTTACTTAAAAAACCTATGATTTTTACCATAACCTGATGTAGCTTTCTTGTATATGCATAGAAATTCGTATGTGTATTACTCTATGCCTGATCAAGTTACTGAATGATACGAGCCTTGAGAAATTGGAATTTAATTGTTATATCCCCCGCTTGAAAAGCGGGAGGGTATATAGAAATCGGTATGTCCGTCCGTCTGTTACGCTTTATGGTAATCATCTCTTATCCACAATTCCTCTTATACCACTGAATGAAATTTGATGAGACTTTTACAGAATCTTTATTAAGAATTGCCATATTGTGCACCTCCTATTTTACTTTTTGATCCGACACATAAATATGTTGGGTGTCCTATGTAGCAAAACATGGACACTGCCATTATATTCATATGGGAGGCGGGGGTATCATTTAGTGAGCTCATTGCTCACAGTACCTCTAGTTACAATGTTGATTCACTTTTTTCTAACAATTTGATGAATTACAAATAAAGTCCTACACCTGCTGACTAACATACTAAGTAAGTCTAACAAATTGCTTTAAGCTAAATGACGTTCAATACTGCTTGTTATTTATTAAAAGTGTATGCATTGAAAAGGTAGAATCGGTGATGATATAGAAGTCAGGAAAGATGTATAAATAATCATTGTATATAAAGCAATATCTATTTTTGAAGGTGACAAAAAAAGGATTAGTACATTTATTGTCTGGGATCGATGGCAACATGCGTTTTCTCTCGAACCCAAGAACCAAACTGTTTGCCTAAAATGCCTTGAAGCCGTTATTATTTTTAGTAAAAATATGGTATAAACCAAAAAAAAAGAGAAAAACGAGGAATTTAAAAGAGAAATCGTTTTGGAAAAAAAAGATTAAAAAACGTTTCATTGCTTCCATAAATGCACATGTACATGTACATTGTATATACGGCATCACTTTATTTGATATAAATCCATGACAAGGACCACCATATTATAATTATTCAAATTCAGAGAGAGATTATTAAAATACAATTATTGTTAATAAAAGTTCATCTCTTGCAGTTGTATATTGTATTGTGAACATATAAAAAGTAACGGAAAGCACTTTCAAAAGGCGGGTATGACCGATCGGCAGGGGATGCTCACTCTTCCATGGCACATGATCCCATCTCCGATGTTTTGGAGGTCCGTGTTTGCTCTGCTCCTACTCTGTATTGTTTTATGGACTTCTGATTTTGAATACTGTTCGTTATCTCCATATATTTTAATACATTCCAGTGTCGGATAAACATTGATTACAACGGTCTAATCATCAAAATAATTGCATTACTCCTTCATTCGTATACCTCGTATATAGTATTTTCTCGTATTTCAAAATATAATTGTTCATTTTAAATAACAAAGTAAGCATTTAAATTTCTTTCAAATAAAGATATTCCATGGAATTTTTTTTAGATATTTATTTTCGTTGTTTATCAGACCAATAATGCTTAATGCAACTTAATGTATTACAGTCTAATTAAGATAAGACGTTAGATCCGTTCGCATATCACAGGTACTTGTGGACAGCCCCTATCCCCCCCCCCCCCCCCCCGATATTCAACCCCTGGGGTTATTTGACTTTTTTTTTTTTTTTTTACAAAGTATATTTATTACACTTATTCATCATGTGTACAATAGGAAGAAATCGTCAAAACCCCAGAATCGTCAAAAACGCTCCACAAAAAATACCCCACTATACATTATATCTCTCCTATAATGTATAAAATTTTTAACTAAACGCATTGTGTAAGAGCAATTTTGAGGAGCAGAAAAAGGAGATATTTCCATACACCACCGTTCCGCCAAATATATAACTTGCTTCATTTACAACCCAGTATACAATTTCTATTTAAATGAAATATATGAAGTTAACGAACAGTACTAGTATTCAAGTTCAAGAGTCCATTTAACAATTATAAATATAGAGCAGAGCAAACATGGACCTCTAAAACGTCAGAGGTGGGATCAGATGTTATGGAGGGATGAGCATCCCCTGCCCACCGGTCACACCAGCCGTGTGCTCCTTGTCATGATCGGGAAATAACGGATAAAGTCCGTCAACTATTCAGTGTGTGAATAATATCCTAACAATAAATAAATTAGATATTAAAAAAGTCAGTCAGCATTAATTTTAGCTTAATGATCTAGACTGTATTTGCTGACAAGGTCATTGTATCGACCATAGAACTTAGGAAATGATGACTTTAAACGAGACTGCTAATATTCGTGTATCCATCTTCGCTAGCCAAGGGTTTCTGATACGCTACTCTCCTCATAAACCCTTGGCATACGGAGAAGTCAAAAGACGGGATTGTTTTCCGTCACGTGATCTGAATCTATCAGGTATGCACAGATTGCGTCATCGACAGAAATAAAGACACGTGTTTAAAAAAAAAATTAAATCAAATTTTTTTTTTCAAGAATAATTTAGAGGCAATTGAATTACGTTTATTTATTATTTGTAGAACAAATCTGAAGTTTCAATATAGATTCTTAATCACATTTTTAGAAGATATTGGATGACACCATAGCTATTCATAGAATTGCATGTTATCTTACGGAACGTTGTTTACTTGCGTTTTTCATTTCCGAGATTAAAGAGTCAAGAAGTATCCTAAACGCAAATATCGTCATTTACAAAAAACAATTGCTGATTGGTCGACCGGGTACACTGAATCCCAATCAGAACTCGATGGTCGACCGGGTACACTGAATCCCAATCAGAACTCGAGAAAAAAATCCCAGTTTTTATCAACACCGTAAGCCAAGGGTTTATGAGGAGAGTAGTGTATCCAGAAACCCTTGGCTAGCGAAGATGTCGTGTATCATAAACTTGTTTTTCAATAACTTAGCTCGTTTTAGAATTATTAAATACGTAGAGCATGCTCTCCTACTGGTAATGGTTGACATAACTGATAGTTTTAGAAGATGGATACTTTTTCTTTAGAAAGAGACGATGTTGACGCAGGTACTTTAGAATTCAGAGTTATGCCTCTAAAGGCTTAAATACATGTTGATAGCAACAAGAGCCTGTACAGACTGCAACTGTAAACTGATTATATGGATATATATTAAATAGTTCGCTATAAAAACCCAACCCTGCTCTAAAGGCGTCTGCATTTGTGGTATCGCAGCAATAGCAGGAGGTGACGTTTTCTTCACTGATTATTGTCAACCGGTACATTACCCTGTTGTCGGATTTCCTAAATGTCAACATAATCTAATAGCAGTTAAAAGAATGACAGCATCATCTCATATGGTAAGTCAAAACAAACAACTAAATTTCTAGAGATTATCTTCCTAAAAAATCAGTGAAGCGATGCCCAAATTCTGGTAATTTTCAAAGATTTAAAGTCCCAAGTTTACCCCCAACCAGTCAAAGATAACAGCAAAAATTAAGCTTGTTTTGAAAATTTCATTTTTTACTGAGCAGATTCTCTTTCCCACTGGAACAGATGTGCTGATAGAAACTCTGCCAGTAGACGGATTTGCAATACAGGTTGATGTGAGTCCTTCTGTGCACGATTTACACAGATCTGAAGGTCTCTGTGGTCGCCTGGGTTCAAGTCAGCTTATCACAAACAATGGTGTGGCATCGTCGGTAGATGACTTCATTCTGTCATGGGGGTAAATCAACTTCATCTGAAGATATAATTTAAGAAGAAAATATCAAACTAATGAATATTTAAAAACGCTATATTATTTTGTAGTTTAAATGCTATAAAAACTTTTCTTTTCTAAGTGCCAATTAGTAGTATATAAGACAGCTCTATCAACACATGTTTCAGAACAGCAGACCTTAATACGATAAAATCGAGTGGTTATGTTGCACCAGTTTCCCCGTCAGGACCACAATTTTGTATCTGCGAAAGTGGAATTTCGAAACCAAACTGCACTCACTTCCCTTTCAGACCATACTTTTGTCAAATTGGTACCAGTGAATTTTTATCTGGACAGTGTTCAACCAATGAGGTGTTTGGATGAAGATCCTTACGTCTATTGATCAACCATGATTTGTTTAATAATATATTCATAGATGTTACCGTACATGAGAATAAATACTGCAATTTATTTGCTAACTTGAAATTTCCCAATATGAATAAAATAAATCTTGGTAAATTGTTCAAGATGCATTTAATTACTAAGTATTTAGTTACTGGTCAGAGACCAAAGAGCTTATGCAACTGAAACATGTCCTTCGTACGATAGCCGATATGAGTCGTCAAATTACAAGTAAGAGTAGTTCTATTATGTACGCAGAATTATTTGACTTTAGTAGTATTACCTGTGTCATTTTGTACATGTAAACTTTGTCAATGGCAAAACGCATGTAGTTGTAATAGTAATTTGTACATGTACAAATCTTGAGAAAAAATACAACTAAGACTACTTAACATTCCTTAGATTTATTGGGAAGACTATCTGTAAACTTAGAAGGGACAAAATCATAAACATGTGTTATCTGATTTTTCTTCTATTGTCTCTTGTTCCTCTCATTTTTAGTTGTTAATGTGGCGGATTTAAGAGGGAGTGCACCCGGCGCACCCCCCCCTTAAAATTATCAAAGTTAGCGTAATGTAAATATGTCTACTTGGTAGACCTCTTTTTTACCCTACAAAATCTCTAGAATCCAGGAGCTTCCGAGGGCTCAAGGCGGCCTGCCTATTTTTGGGGCCCCCTCTAACTTCAATTTCTGGATCCGCGCCTGTTTAATATTGTTTACCTTACATCAATTGATCGCAAAATGCAACGATTTTTAGGTCACCTGAGTAAACTCAGGTGACCTATTGCTATCCGTTTTCGTCCGTCGTCGTGCGTCGTCCGTCGTGTGTTAACATTTGAACATTTTCAGCTTCTTCTCTGCAACCACTGAACCAATTTCAACCAAATTTGGTACAAAGCATCTATGGGTAAAGGGGAACAAAAATTGTGAATTTCATGATCCCTGCCCCCCTGGGGCCTGAGGGGTGGGGCCAAAACTACTAAAATTGATGCAATCTTAAAAATCTTCTTTACTCCTGGACATCAAGCAGTCAAACTGTTTGCATGATTGTAATCAGCATTGAGTCTTCTACCAAAATTGTGAAATTCATGGCCCTGAGGTCAGGGGTTCTAGTGCTAGGGCGGGGTTAAATAAGTATATAGTGAAAATGCATTATTTCTTTGAAAATCTTCTTCTCTGCTCCTGGGTATTAAATAAACCAACTAAGTACATAGTTATGATGAGCAAGAGTGCCTCTACCAAAATTGTGAATTTTATGGCCCCAGGGTCAGGGGTTCTGGTGTTAGGGTGGGGCTCTATTGATTATATACAGTGAAAATACATGATTTCTTTGAAAATCTTCTTCTCTGCCCCTGGGTATTAAATAAACTAAGTGCATGGTTATGATGCGCAAGAGTGCCTCTACCAAAATTGTGAATTTTATGGTCCCAGGGTCAGGGGTTCTGGTGTTAGGGCGGGGCTCTATTGATTATATAGTGAAAATACATGGAATCTTTGAAAATCTTCTTCTCTGCTCCCATGTATTAATAAACTAACTAAGTACATAGTTATGATGAGCAAGAGTGCCTCAACCAAAATTGTGAATTTTATGGCCCCAGGGTCAAGGGGTCTGGTGTTGGGGGGGGGGGGCTCTATTGATGATATAGTGAAATTACATGAATTCTTTGAAAATCTTCTTCGCTGCTCCTAGGTATTAAATAAACTAAGTGCATAGTTATGATGAGCAAGAGTGCCTCAACCAAAATTGTGAATTTTATGGTCCCAGGGTCAGGGGTTCTGGTGTTAGGGCAGGGCTCTATAGATTACAGTATATAGTAAAAATACATGAATTCTTTGAAAACCTTCTTCCTGCTCCTAGGTATTAAATAAACTAACTAAGTGCATAGTTATGATGAGCAAGAGTGCTTTTACCAAAATTGTGAATTTTATGGTCCCAGGGTCAGGGATTCTGGTGTTAGGGCAGGGCTCGTTTGATTATATATTGAAAATACATGAATTCTTTGAAAATCTTCTTCTCTGCTCCTAGAAATTAAATTAACTAAGTACATAGTTATGATGAGCAAGAATGCCTCTTCTAAAATTATGAATTTTATGGCTCCAGGGTCAGGGGTTCTGGTGTTAGGGCGGGGCTCTATTGATTATATAGTGAAAATACATTAAATCTTTGAAAATTATCTTCTCTGTCTCTGGGTATGAAGCAGATGAACTACCTATATAGTTATGATGAGCAAGGGCCCTAATCTTCCAGAATTGTGAATTTCAAGTGCCTTTTTAAAACTTGTGCAATGTGTGGACCTAGGGTCAGGGGTTTATGTCACAGTGTTAGGGGCACTACTGATTATTGCTGAATATTACTGATTAGTTGGAATGCATTTTTGTTCCCCTACCCTGCGTATGGGTATTCAGTAACCAAGCTAAGCAACTGCTAAATGTATTGTTATGATGATCAATGGTGCCTCTTTCAAAATTGTGAATGCCATATAGCATCTGGCTTAAAACATTAATCAAATTCAATAACTGGAAAGTTGTTGCATAATGCTCAGGTGACCTATAAGGCCCGTGGGCCTCTTGTTTTTTTTTTTTTTTTGTCTTTGATCTCAGAATTTAATTTTTTTCATAATAGAATATTTTGTGTCTATTTATTTAGTTTCCTCTTGGTTTTGTAAATTCTATCTTTCACAACAAAAAACCTTCATTCCTAGGCCCCAAAATACTGGTTAAAGATTCCAGAAACAATGGAGCTGCATCTTTATTGTTTCTTTATTCACCAGATGAAAATCTGTCGCTTGATGATCTGCGTAAAAAATGTGTTTATTTTTCATTCTATGCTTTGCACTGTTTCCATATTACTTTTTTCTTCATTATTTTTTTTTTCATTGGAACGAGTAAAAAAATAGAATTAGGAAATACATAACGTTTTACATAAAGATGCAGCTGATTTACCATCTGAAAAAAGACTCTCACAAAATATGCCTTCAATGGTGGAAAACCCCGACAGATAAGATCACTGACAATGTTTGTAAAATTAAAATCAATCCTGCTGTTTTAAATATCATTAAAAGAATTGGAATACAGCATTAACATGTATTTACCCACCCTCATTCGTAAACCCCCCCCCCCCCCCCCCCCCCAAACACACGTGTTTTGTTTAGTCTCCGTCCCAAATTACAGAAATCTACAGAATGTTTCCTCGATAGTTCGATCAAGCGACAGATTTTCATCTGGATAGAAAAAAAATAATAAAGATGCAGCTCCATTGTTTCTGGAATCTCTAACCAGTATTATGGGACTACGAAGGAGGTTAAGATTTTGTTATCATGAGAGTTAGATAAAAAAAAAAACCCAGAGAAATTCAAATAGAAGCAAAATATTCTATGATAAAAAAAAATTAAATTTTGAGATCAAAGACAAAAGAAAAAATCCAATATCGCTGCATTTTTTCCATCAATTGAAGTAAGGTACACAGCATTTTTTAAACAACTAAAATGGGGGAAATTAACAAGAGGAAATAGAAGAAAAATCAGATAACACATGTTTATGATTTTGTCCCTTCTAAGTTTACAGATAATCTTCCTAATAAAATAAATCTAAGGAATGTTAAGTAGTCTTAGTTGTATTTTGTCTCAAGATTTGTACATGTACAAATTACTACCCCGGTATTACAACTAAATGCGTTTTGCCATTGACAAAGTGTACATGTACAAAATGACACAGGTAATACTACTAAAGTCAAATAATTCTGCGTACATAATAGAACTACTCTTACTTGTAATTTGACGGCTCATACCGGCCATCGTACCTTTACCTCCGTCCGTCTGTCTGTATACAATGTTTGAAAGTGATATTCATCCTACAGTTTCAGTCTGATTTCAATAAAATTTGGTACACTAGTAAGCTACACTAAGATACATAATTTGGGGAATGCGTTGTTGTCTGAATTACGTGAGCGACCAAAAACATTGGCGTACATTAAGGTTTTTACAATTCTTGGATCTGTAGCTCTATGCTTTATCTGTTCGAATTTTCTCAAGCAGAGAGCAACAGTTCTGCATGTAGGAAGTGACTAGCACGTGGTGACATAGTAAGCAGAAAAGTTATGTTGTGTTTCAGCACCACCCAATACATATTATACATATATATGTTGAAAAAGAAATAAAGTATCATTCTAAATCGGGAAGTAAATACGGGTTGATCATGTGATTAAATCTTATAAAGCCCTAACATGATTCCTTATTACTTTTTTTTTTTTTTTTTTTTACATTTTTGGTTGATTTATTACAAATAGTAAGGAACATCCCCCCCCCCCCAAAAAAAAAATTGAATGTGTTGAGCACGTTGATCACATACGACGTCACTTTGAAATAACGTAGATTGTTTATGACCAAATAATTTAATTTTGGTTGTACCGCGTCATTTGATTGGATACTATGATAACATACCGCCAACTGTCACTCGGGTGGCTCGTACCACGCACAGTAACCTCGGACGTCAAAGGTGTTCTATCATCTTGCTGATTCAGTCATGCGATTTTATTTGAGTTGTAATTTTAAAAAAGCAATATACAATGAAGAATTAGAAAAATAAAGAACCTTTTTTTTGAAGACCTTTAGGCAGAGTGAAATATGAAATGAGTGACAAGGCAGTTTCCGGCGGAGAAACCACCGCCTAACACATCCGAGATTTGAATGGAGCGTAGCGGAATCAGCCGAGGATTGCTGATTGGCGACTGTAAAAGTCAGTGCTTCTTGTAGTAAAAGTTAAAAAATGACTCGACTTAGCTCCAGAAAACAATCATATTTTATGCATTCCAGAAAACAGGTTTCGCTTGCATATGGAATGCATAAAAATTGTTTCCTTGAGAATAATAAAGTTTTGAACCGAGCCACTTATAGCCAGTAGATAGCACCTGATCCAGCCTCTGGTGTTTATGGTCCATTTGGTGAGGTATTAAAATAGAATGCAAATTAGGAAGTGCCCCACATCAGCATATTGAGAATATTTTTGCCACCTTTTTTTTTCAAAAACAGACAGTCAAAATAATTATAATGAAATATACGAAGATAACAAATAGTATTCAAGCTCATAAGTCCATTTTTTAAATAATACAAATCAGGAGCAGAGCAAACATGGATCTAAAACTTTATCAGAATCCATGGAAGAGTGAGAATTCTCTTACAACCAGTCAATGGCCCACCGTCTGCTCCATATCATGATCGGTGAATCACTGAAAAATCCATAGAAAAGTCATTATTTACTAACAATTAGTATGAAAAGCTGACATGCGATAACCTGTGAGTTTGCTCTTATCATGCATTATGACAAGAACAATGAAAAGAATTGTCACCACATACTTCGAAGGTAGAGACAGAAAGATAAGATGTTTGCTAAGAGTGATTAGAACATCCGTTTAAAGAATGGTGATTTCCTCGCCGTATTTGGCATTATTTTTGTTTGCGTTATATGGTAAGTTTCAACATTTAGTCTTTTGTTTATGAATCTACATGTATATTGAATGCGTCTCAACATGCTCAATCAAGCCCAGCTTCAGAGTGGTAAATTTATTACTTGATATTGTCCTTATTTTTTTCAGACTTTTCAGAAGGTGTTTTTACTCCAAGTAAGCCGACTGTTGAATTTGAAACTGAAAAATATTTTGCTGGGAGACTATGGTTGGAAAGACTGTATCTAAAATGCAATTTTACACCATCGTCCGACACCTCTCTCCTTTACATGGTTAAATGGTATGATGATGCTCATATCGTGTATACGTCATCATTAGTTACCGCTGCAAATATCTCGTCAACATATTTCAGAAATGAAAATGGTTTGCGTGTAGCATCAACGGTAATTAACTTGAGGATTTTAGATGTAAAAGTGATATTTTGAAATTAGTCCAATACTAAATGATTTATCATTTTTGCAACTTATCTAATTAATTCAGTATCGTTTTCCGCAAGGTTTCATGTGCGGTTTTTTCAAAGAGTGGGAGCAATGACCCAGGGCATCTATCTCTCCGAAGTGAAGGTTTCCTTGTGGGGATTAAAGTAAAATATACCTTTACATTTTAAACACCTGTATTCATTTAATATTCACATCTTTAAAATAATTTTCTAGGTATTTTTGACAAAAATGAAAGATTTTATCCAAATTTTGCTATCATCAAAATATTCGCTGCAAAAAAATGTAAAAAAATGTTTATAGTATTTCATTTAAATGGGACATGAAATTCTAACAACAAAATTTTCTGTGTGTTTCAAAAATATCTTGAATGTTTACTTTAAGTTAGCTTCTTGTATAACGGTGACTTCTTTTGATCAAAAACAAGGCTAAAAGTCATTCATATTAACTCAAAACTATAAATTAAAGAGCGACTTCAGAAACATTGAGATTTGAATTCCTTTATTTTTAACAAACATAATTGCGTGAAAAGTTGTAAGTTTGTCTTACATACAGTTACGAGTAATAAAAATGAAAATTCTCTTAATTTTAAAATACATGTAAGTGACCTTTTTGGATATACAGTCAAAACAAGATAAATTAAGCCTCTTCTATCTATTCACATAAATAAATAGAATTTTAAAAAAAATACAGACATATTTCAATTATATACTATTTCTTTTGATATTTGAAAAAAAAAGACTGTACCATCTCCAGTCGAAATGGTAAGAGGACGAATGGCTAGAATCGGGCTTTACCTTACAGTTCCTTTTGGATGCGTGTTTTACTACCCACAGGACAAAGAGCCTATTAATTGTGAGTTAGAAATTATAATAAGCATTGCAAAAGAGTCCAGCTGTGACCCACATATAATGGTACAGGATGGATGTGGTCTTCGAATAAGGAAAAGAGAATGGAACGTCACCAACTACATAACTCTGAATCTCGTTGATAATTACAAATACATAATTCCATTGCAATATCAAATAACTCTGCAATCACGATATTTTAACTATGGTAATGAGTGGAAACATTTTCAGCAAAACATTACGGTAAGTGTATCTCAAATTACTGTAAATATACACAACATTATCAATATTCATGTATTTTTTGGAGATCAAATCAGTCGGAATCCCAATGGATACCAGCTGTGCTCTTTTATTTAAAGACCTATCAAATTACATGTTTATTCAGATGAAGATTTTTTCAGATATCTCTTGTCGATGATAACCACTGGAAGGGTGCAGTTTGCACAATCAATAGCCATGATGTTTACATGACAACTTTTAACAACAGGTATTTTCAAAGAAAAGGGATAATTTTTATATAAGTTTTTAAACATCAATTTGACATGCTTCTCAAAATCTATAAATAGTAGCACAAGTCTATATACTGTTTTGTACTTGATAATCAAGTTTGAGCTATAATCAGAGAGCTTAGAACAAGAAGCCAATGGGCCATATCGATAACCTGAGCACTGTGGCTAGAAAAAAAGCAAAAATCATTCCAGTATTTAAAAAGCTTAAATGCATTAATAAGCGGTCCCAACTTTCCTCTAAAAAGGGGGGGGGGGTGATTTGAATTAACTTGAACCTACACTCATTAAGAATGCTTACATATTTCTTTGACTTACTGTGAGTTTTCCGTATACATCTTGTCCCCACCCTACCCCTAAGTCTCACCATTTAAAGAAATGAATCTACACTACCTGAGGATGCTTCCACATTAGTTTCATTTTTCATGACCCATTGGTTCTTGAAATATGACTTGAAATATGATTTTTGAAGATTTTTCCTATATATTCCTATTTAAAACTTTGATTGTCTATTGTGGCTCCACCGTTCCCATGGGGGCCATGACAGGAACAAACTTGAATCTACACAATCTGAGAATGCTTCCATATAAGTATGACCAATCATGGCTTTTTTGTTCTTGTAAAGAACGTTTTTAAAGATTTTTCCTATAAATTCATTTGTAAAACTTTGATCGTCCCTTGTGGCCACATCCTAACCCCCGATGGCCATGATTTGACCAGACGATTCTACGCTACCTGAGGATGTTCCTATAGATATGGCCAAACATGCTATGTTGTTCTTGAGAAGATTTTTAAATATTTTCTTGAATTTTTATATGTAAATCTTGATCACCTATTGTGGCTCGCCTTACCCTCGGAGGTCATGATTTAGATAGATTTGAATCTACATTACCGGAGGATACTTGCACATTTGTTTCATTCTTTCCTGACCCACTGGTTCTTGAGAAGAAGATTTTTAAAACATGCCACCAATTTTTCACTATTTCGTAATTATCTCCTAATGAAAGAGGGCGTCGCCCTTTATTTGTACCCAAGGATGCTTTGTGGCAAGTTTGGTTGAAATTGGCCCAGTGATTCTGGAGAAGAAGTTGAGAGTGTGAAAAGTTTACAGACAGTTAGACAGTCGGACGCCGGACAAAATGTGATCAGAAAAACTTACTTGAGCTTTCAATGATGGAAAAAATTATATCTATTTGAAATTTGATATGTATACTAGTGAAAATTTTAGAACGCATTGATGTGTATTTTGCAATCTAGACAACTTCGTCATAATTTTACTGGACAACCCTCGCACATATATATATATCCAAGGCCAGTAGCAATTTCAGTTGGGGAGGGAGGGGGGACCAATATTTCAGTTGGGGCACTATCAACTTCCAAAAATCCCTTGACAAGCAAAATAAAGAGAAAGTCATCTTTCATCTGTTTGAGGCGTTTTTATTGAGCTGCTACTATATGCTGCTGCCCCAGCAGCATATAGTAGCTTTTTTCAATAGTAATCTCTATATCGGCAAAAAATATTGGAGGTGAATGGGCTTAAATTCCATGTATATCGTTATTGCTTGGTGTTGTAAAACAATAAAAACCATTTCTAACGTTTATTTGCCTCTTTATTGATTAAATAACTCATGCATGGTTTTACAGAAAATTTGGCATTATTCACGCTGGGACGTACATCCTTTATAAAAACATAGATTCTGAGGGAATACATACAGAAGTTGGTATACTCTACTCTCACCTGCTTTGTAATTTGCTAAAAAGAAAAAAAAAACAACTTATAAATCATGCAGTTATTTTATTCATTAAATGAAATAATTGTTAAAAATCAACTAATGAAACAACAACAATGTACTATTATATTTTAGGTAGACGTGAAGTTGCAGTCTTGTGGGGGAGATATGTGTATATGTGGAGTGGCCGCCATGGCAGGAGACGATGTTTACATTATTGATCTTTGTGGAACCCCTATCTACATTGGATTTACGAAATGCTTAAATAATGTTATTGATGTCAGTAAAAATGACGATCATAATTTCAGGGTAAGATACATGAATGTGTCATGCTATAGAACTTTATTATGCCCACGCTTGAAAAGCGGGAGGGTATGTCCGTCCGTCTTTCCATTAGTTCGTCTGTTTGTTACGCTTTGTGGTACCATCCGCAACTCCTCTCATACCACCGAATGAAATTTGAAGAGACTTTCAGAGAATCTTTATTACATAATGCCATTTTGCAACTCCTGGTTTACTTTTTGATGCAACACATATTTTCGGTTTCCCATTGCAAAACATACACAAAAAAGGACTCGTCCAAAGATAAGAGGCTTTTAGGCTACAACGTTCTCGTGAGTTCTCTTAATTCACATGTTATTCACCTATATTATGCTTTTTAAATCCATTTACACTTTTTGTATTTGCTACAAGTGTGCAGCATACATTGCTACAAACTTGCTGCAAGCTTGCTGTAATGTAGCTAAAGAAAGCATGACAGTCTATACAAAGCCTTGGTGTTTGCGACAATCTATAAGGTCAGAGAATAGAGTATACAAAGCCTTGGCAGTTTGCGGCAAGTGTGCAGCAAGCTAACAGCAAACATTCTACCATGCAAATGAGGTCTGCTGCATGTCTGTCGGAAACACGGGATTTTTCAAATATGCAAACATTGCTTCGAAGCCTGCAGCAAACATTGATGCTAACTAGCAAGAAAACAATTTCCTTATTGTTTTTGGTCCATTCATGTATATATGCAAGCAGCAAGTTCGCAGAAAACTTTTGACCTGACTTTATCTGTTTTACAGACAAAATCTGAAATAATGCAAGTTTCTGAAGTGTTGATAGACTCTCTCTAGTCCCTAGACAACATTAATTTCCATACTTTTAATAAAGTGCACTTTTTTCTAATACTGTATATACACAAAATTAAGAACTGTACAGTTAACAAAACTTCTAGGTGTTCACTCTAATAAATGTATACTTGTTCTACTTTATAGAATGGTACATGATATTTTCAAATTATTAAAACAAATGAGTTTTCTAAACAAATATTGAAAGAAAATTAAATATTACCGATGAAAACCAAAGTTCCGTTACGAAGCTTAAAACCAATAGATATGTACTTTGCGGCACGTGTTTTGTGTAATGAGCATCTTATTGTGATTTAAAAACACATTGGCAAAATGACCATTGGGAAAAAAGGGAGAGCCGTTGGAATGTTAATATGTGGACTATCCTTGCATCACGCTTTACTCATTTTTAGCTCACCTGAGCCGAAGGCTCAAGTGAGCTTTTCTGATCAAAATTTGTCCGTTGTCTGTTGTCGTTGTCGTCGTCGTTGTCGTAAACTTTTCACATTTTCATCTTCTTCTCAAGAACCACTGGACCAATTTCAACCAAACTTGGCACAAAGTATCCTTGGGTAAAGGGGATTCAAGTTTGTTCAAATGAAGGGCCAAGCCCTTTTCCAAGGGGAGATAATCATGAATTTGTTAAAAATTAATGGCATTTTTAAAAAATCTTCTTCTCCAGAACCGCTGGGCCAGGAAAGATGAAGCTCATGTGGAAGCATCCTCAGGTAGTGTAGATTCAAGTTTGTTCAAATCATGACCCCAGGGGCAAGGGTGGGGCCAAAATGGCCGACCCAAGTTTTACATAGGAATATATAGGAAAAATCTTTAAAAATCTTCTTCTCCAGAACCACTAGGACAGGAAAGATGAAACTCATGTGGAAGCATCCTCAGGTAGTGTACATTCAAGTTTGTTCAAATCATGACCAACGGGGCAAGGTTGGGGCCAAAATGGCCGACCCAAGTTTTACATAGGAATATATAGGAAAAATCTTTAAAAATCCTCTTCTCCAGAACCACTGGGCCAGGAGTGATGAAACTCATGTGGAATCATCCTCAGGTAGTGTAGATTCAAGTTTGTTCAAATCATGACCCCCGGGGCAAGGATGGGGCCAAAATGGCCGACCCTAGTTTTACATAGGAATATATAAGAAAAATCTTTTAAAATCTTCATCTCAAGAACCACTAGGACAGGAAAGATGAAACTCATGTGGAATCATCCTCAGGTAGTGTAGATTCAAGTTTGTTCAAATCATGACCCCCGGGGCAAGGATGGGGCCAAAATGGCCGATCCAAGTTTTACATAGGAATACAGTGGACCTTCAGATATCCGGACGCCAGATATCCGGATGCTTCAGTATCCGGACGATTTTTCATCGGAACGAAATTTTATATGCTATTTTGTCTTGTTTAACTGGTGATTCAGATATCCGGATGCTTCACATATCCGGACAAATGGACTGGGAACCAAAGCGTCCGGATAAATGAGGGTCCACTGTATATAGGAAATATCTTTAAAAATCCTTCTCAATTACCACTGGGCCAGGAAAGATGAAACTGATAGGGAAGCCATCCTCAGGTAGTGTAGACTCAAGTTTTTTCAAATCATGACCCCCGGCCCTGGGGATAGGGTGGGGCCAAAATGGGCGACCCAAGTTTTACATAGGGATATATAGGGAAACCTTTTAAAATCTTCTTTTCAAGTACTTCAAAGCTATGATTAGTGATACCCGGGGTATTTATATGGAATCATCCTCAGGTAGTGTAGATTCTAGTTTGTTCAAATGATGAACGCCTGGAAGGGGGGGGGAGTAAATTCAAGCCCGATGTGCTCAGGTGAGCGCTGTGGCCCCTGGGCCTCTTGTTATGTTAGTATTTAATTGCCCTTGATATTACTTTTAAAAATGAACAACCAGTATCAAAACCCATTTAAAGTTTAAATGGGTTTTGATACCAGGGTTGTTAATTTAAAAAAAAAAAATTAAACACATTTTTCTATTGCGTCATTTTCATCTCCAATTTATCACAATTTGAAAGCTTTGAACAAAATTTAACCCAACCAGAAGTGACCTTGATCTTCGTCTGAGGTCAAGGTTTTGCGTCACACCAGGTTAAAAGAGTGTTAAATTGTCCTAAAACAATCTTAGAAACATGAAAACAAACAATTTCAATCGTATGTAAATGATAAGAAATTATATAGGGGAAGTTTCACCCCCTTCGTCCTAACCTCGGTTGGGCGAATTTAAAAAGGGACGAATTCCAAGAATACAGTATAGTTTCTTTAAAAAAAAAAACTGACTGGGCGAATGTAAAACGGAGTAAAATTGTTTGCAAGTGTGAAACGGCGAAAATTAATCGGGCGAAAATAACCCTAAGTAGTATAAGGCGTCCCGATAGATATTCATTCTGATTGGCTGAGAGAAATCACGTGATCAGTTCTGATTGCTTGAGAGGGATAGGTGGGTCAACTGAGTGCAGTCCTAGCCCTAACTAACCCTAACCCCCTAGCCCTAACTAACCCTAACTAACCCTAAACCCCTCTAACCCTACCCCCCTAGCCCCAACTAACCCTAACCCTAACTAACCCTAACCCTAACCCCCTAGCCCTAACTAACCCTATCCCCTTAGCCCCCTCTAACCCTAACCCCTTTTAACCCTAACCCTGGGCTAGGTGGGTCAGTATATAACCCCTAAATATGGTGTTTACACTATGTTTACATTGGTACGTTGGTACTACGTTTTGCTAAACTATACAGGTAAAATACTTTGGGGCCGTGTGCAAAACATTTCAAGAATGACATTATGACGTCACGCTTCACAGTCTAGACAGTCTAGCCAGCCAGCCGGTTCAAACTGGATTTCCTCAAAAGCAATAACACTAACACAGATTTTGATTTTTTTTTTTTTTACAATTTTTATTCACAATGAAAAATACAAAAAATGATTTTAATTTCCACTGTATCGGCATAAGGGACATTTCTGGTAAGAAG